CACCCCTGCACACAGCCCCCTCACCCTCAGCACCCGCAGGGAGATGGGAGTCCCTCCTTTCCCATCCCCGCACCCCTGCACACAGCCCCTTCATTCATCCTCAGCACCTGCAGGCTGCTGGTGAGAGGGAGGAGGGAGCCAGGTGCAGTCCTCTCAGGGAAGCCAGGCTGCCCCAGGCAGGCCCTTCACGTCTGTGACTTCTTATCTTCATCTCACAGAGCAGCTGGGCTCAGCACAGTCCCGTGAGCAGGCCGAGGTGGGGACCCCTGGGGAGACGTCCTCGGGCCTGCAGCAGGGTGGGGGGCCGGAACCAGGCTGTGAACAAAGACCAGGTAAGGAGATAAATCAGCTGCCCGATCACATTTCCTGCCCCGAAAGCTCCTGTAAAACACGAGAGAAAATTGACCTGTCAGGGGGATAGATGGGCCCGGATAGTGGCCGCCTGCCCCGGGCCAGCTTCCCTCCACGCATCCCACCTGTGCACAGCACCCCTGCCCGGCCTGGGGCTGGGCTCCTGTGGGCCTGCACAGCCCCAGAGGGAACCCTGGCCCCGGGAGGGGTGGCCCCCATCCAGGACTCCTTCGGGAGCTCCACTCCCGGCCTGCACCCTTCGCATGTCCCTGACGGACGAGGCCCAGCTGCTCAGGCACGTCAGGCTATAAAATGGATGGAGACCAGGGCAGCGTCAGCCGACAGCTAGAGTACCTTTTAAAAAATGTAATCTCTTTTGATTTCCCGCCTGCCCTCCTCCCTCCAGACCATAACCTCCCGCCACCCTCCCCTCTTCCTGCGCAGCCGTGACCTTGGTGCACAGACCGTGGTGTGGAGGGGCCGGGCATTCAAGGACACCCTCCTCACCTTGAGAAGCCCGGGCTCAGCCACGCCAGCCTGTGGGGGCGGGGCGGGGGCACGCAGAGCCGATGTGGACGGGCTGCACCCCCTCCAAGGTGACCCCAGCACCTGCAACTCCCCCAGCGCCGGGTGGCCTGGAAACACCCGAGGGGGCCCTGCCTGGGGAACAGGGTGGGAGGCCTCTGCGGCCGGCTCCTCTGATGGCGGAGGCACCTCTGGCCCCCGGGAGCCGCGAAGAGCCAGGTCGGCCTCTGGCTCAAATGCTCCTCACCGCAGTCCCCCCGGGTAGCCTCTGCCCTCTCTCAACCCATCTTATGGCTGAGGCCAGCGAGGCCAGCAGGCTCGGGAGGCTGCCCAGGGAGGCTCCCCGGTGTCCAGCTCTGCCTGGTCCCCCCACCCGGGCCCTGCCAGCCCCAGAGCACTGCATTACAGCCACGGCACGCAGGAGCCACGGCACGCAGGGGCCACGCCACGATGGCTGCTCCCCAAGCAGGGGCTCCCAGCTGCTGCCAGCCAGAGGCTTCAGGCTGCCTTGGGGAAGCCCCTTCTCCAGTGCCTCTTTGGTCGCACAGGGAGCCCCGTGCGTCCCTCCCCCAGGGTCTCCACTGGACAAGAGGCTGCAGCAGCTGACCGGGCAAAATGCAGCTTCTTCCACCGCCCTCGGGCTCAGCTGGGGAGCGAGGCGCTGAGAGGAGGGGCAGCCTCTGAGCTCCCTGAGGCCTCTCCACTCACTCAGGCCTCCCCCCTGCCCCACGCTGCCCCTGGGTCCTTCGGGCGGCCAGGCTGGCCCCAGGGGACAGCCGAGTCCACCCACTGGCACACGCCAGAGTCTGACCCGTACCCAGGCCTGGCCAGCCAGCCCTCCCCTCCATCCCCTCCTGAACAATGGCTCTTTCAGCACATGGCCAAGAGGCCACTCGCCAGCAGGAGCAGGCAGATGACGGACAGGCTGAGGGAGTGGGAAGGAGGCTGGCGCTCCAGCCCAGGGGTGGCGGGCAGCCAGGGAGGACAGCCATGCTCTGTCCTAAGGGCTGGGGGCTGAGAGGGGGTCCCTGAGGCTCAGGAGGGTGGGGAGGACCTGAGGCCTGGGGTGGTAACAAGGCACAGGCTAAGGAGCGTTGGCAGAACAGGGCAGGGCTGTGGGGATGGACCCACCCACGCTCTCCCCAGCACCCGGCAGCTCCCCCAGCTGAGGCCTCTGGGGACCCAGAACTGCCCAGGTCTCTCCTCTTTCCAGCCTCAGCCTCCCCTCACCCTGCCCTGCCCAGCCCCAGGTGTTACTCCCTCTCCTGGGACCTCCCAGACCTTCTTCTGGGCCCAGCACGTGGCACCGACTCTCCTGCCCTGGGATCCTCCAAGGTGTTGCGTGGATGAGGGCTGTTCTAAGTGGCCTCGCCGTCCACCTGGGAGCACACGCTGGGGTCCACGGCTCCCGCCCGGTGTGGGGGCAACGAGAGCTGAGGGTGTATCATTGTCTCTTACATGCACACATACATGCATACATACACATGCACACACAATGCATGCACATGCACACACACATGAACACACATGCACATATGCACACATACACATGAACACACACGCACATGCACAAACAATGCATGCACACACACAGACATACACACATGAACATACACACGCGAACACATACATGCACATATACATGAACACACATGCACATATGCACACATACACATGAACACACACACATGCACAAACAATGCATGCACACACACAGACATACACACATGAACATACACACACGAACACATACATGCACATATACATGAACACACATGCACACATGCACATGAACACACACATGCACATACACATATATATGCACACACATGCACACATGCACACAGGTACACATGCACACACGTATACAATGCACGCATACACGTACGCACATACATGCACATACATGCACGCACAAACATGCACACAAACATGTACATACACATGCACATGTGCACACATGTACACACATATACACACTTGCGCACATCATGCAAGTGGTCTTTCCCCACCTAACCCTGTCAGTCTGCTGCCCCAGACCCTCACACTGGGTCTGAGGGTGTGCTGGCTGCCAGGGAAGTGGGGACCGTCTTGCAGCTGCATGGGCTCTGCCAGTCTGGGGCGCTTTGCAAGAATGGAGGCTGCAGGGGCTGGAGGACCTGAAGCGGCCATGCAGAGTTGTCAGCCCTGCAGGAGCCGGTCCCTCTGCCTTGGCCGCCTTCTCCCTCCTCCCTCACTGCTGCTCCTAAAGCTCCTGGCAGGGCCGGCGCCCTAGGGACCCTGTAGGGGAGCCCTGCAGAACTGGCCTGCACACTCTGCCCAGGGCAGCCCACTCCCTGGGCCCTGGGCCCTGTCCCGTGCAGGTCCTCTGGCCCCGTGGGTGTGACATCCAGAAGGCAGAATGGGCAGATTTGTTTTCTTCTGTTTTGTGGTTTAAGCATCACTGTGCCAGCCCTGGCTCCCTGGCCCTGAGCCCTGGAGGGGCCCTGACTCTCGCCTCAGGATCCCCCCAGTCCCACTGCTCAGCCCAATTCTGCACCGTTTGTCCATCGCCGTGGGTTTATATTCCTTGACCGCCACTGACCCTGGCCATGTGGCCCTCAGCGTTTTGTCCAGGGATCTGTCTGCGGGTCTTCTGCACATCTCAGCTCTTCCTCCTCCTCCACTCTGCCTGCACTCCACGATATTAACTGCTCAGGCCGGTGTGGCCCAGGTGCAGACTTATGTAGGGCAGGCCTGAGCTCCCCAGGGTCTGACTGACAGGGAAAAGCAGGTTACAGTCACCGCCTCAGGGCTGGGCACATTTATAGAACCAGCCAGGAGCTGTGCATGGACTCTGGGATTTCACGGCCTCCCCAGCATGGGCAGGGTGATCCGTGCTTGAACAAGTGAGTCATGCCCAGTGTCACTTCAAAGCCCTGAGTTCTGGGGACTCACTCTGTGCCTGCAAGGAGTGGTATGAAGAATACCCATCAGGCCAGGCGTGGCAGCTCACATCTGTAATCCCAGCACTTTGGGAGGCCAAGACAGGTGGATCATCTGAGGTCAGGAGTTCGAGACCAGCCTGGCCAACATGGTGAAACCCCATCTCTGCTAAAAACATAAAAATTAGCCAGGTGTGTGGTGGGTGCCTGTAATCCCAGTTACTCGGGAGGCTGAGGCAGGAGAATGGCTTGAACCTGGGAGGTGGAAGTTGCAGTGAGCCGAGATCATGCCATTGCACTCCAGCCTGTGCAACAGAGCAAGACTCCGTCTCAAAAAGAAGAAGAAAGAAAAAGGATAGGCCTCAAACATACCCGAGTAGTCCCCCATTCTGACGTGTTTTTATACAACTTTATTTTTCCCTATCTCCAAAATTAAATTTTCTAACTCTGATGGAACAAACAAAAACTCAGGAAGCCAGCAAGGTTACGTGCCCACGTGTGAGCTGGCATAGTTGGGGCTGCTCATCTGGGGGTGTGGATTAGCATAGGGAACCATCTGGAGATAAACATGTCATGGGGACTTAGGGGCTTGGGAATGACCAAGTGCCTGGCTGTCCCCAACTGGGCCCTGGTCTTCCACACCCAGGAGAGCCCACGGCTCCTCTTCCTCTCACTTCCTGGGACTGAATCGCTGGAGCCTGCCCCCTGGACGGGCCCTCGTGGGGGCTCCCTGCCTGCCTGCCCTGATCCCCGTCCCCCCACTGGAGCCGGACAGGGCCGCCCGCAGCTCTGTCTTCCCAAACACGCCTCTCTCTCCCACAAAATAATTTAATGCAATTTAATGGCTTGAATTTGATGTAAAAATTACAGGCGTGTGCGGGTGGGGTGGGGCGGGGGCCTCGTAAGAAATCCTTTTGAAAATATAATTGAGTTAATGGAGCCATAACTACGTCTCATTTTGGGGTAATTGGCCTGCTTTTTGTCACCCTGTCCATTTACATACTCCTGTTTTCTTTTTGCTATTGATTTTTTCTTTATAAAGTGGGCCACTTTATTGCAATTTTTAAAGCCCCAGTGATGAATAAAACCTCATCTTCCCACTCATTAAGACACAGGAATTAGCCGGGCTCAGGGCCCAGCCAGTCAATTTGTTTAACAATCCCAGGCTGGCGGTGTTTTGGTTGAGACAGGGGCTGCCTGCCGCAAGAGGGGCTAGAGCGGCTGCCAGAAGCTGGCCCCGGGCGAGGGCTCCACCCCAGGGGAGGAGTCCGTGGCCTCCGCCTGCCCCGGACCTTGACTCTGGGATGCCCCTCCCGCTCCGATCTCCCTCCCTTGCTAAAGCCTTCAGCAGCCTTGGACCCCCGAGTCAGCCTTACTGCGGCCGTGACCACAGCCCCACCCACCTGCCTTTCACTGCAGATCAAGGTCGCACTTCCTTTAGGAAATATTTTTTTAATTATAAAATCCATGCACACACAAAGAAAATGAAACCAATGGCACAATGGGATTTAAAGCAAAAAGTAGCAACCCCTCCCACCCCAGGCTCCAGAGAGGCGTCTGTGAACCGCCTGCTCCGGGTTCCCACGCCCAGGCCCTCTGCGCATGCGGAGAGGTGGAAGCTACATGCATCAAATCCACACACAAATCCAGTGCTGCCATACCTGCCACTCGCAACTTGGCATCTGGCTTAATTTCATTACTGTCCCATGAACATCTTCTACAGTGGGACAGAGACCCGCATGCCATTTTTCATGGCTTTCTAGCATTTCTCTGCCTGTCCACACCCTGGTGCATTTAGAGGGGATTACAGGGTTTCCCAGAACCTGGGATTTTCAGTACTAATACCGGGATCGCCCTGGGCACACTGGGATGGTTGGTCAGCTGATATGTATTTGGCCAGTTGTACTGTTGGACATTCAAGAGTTGCTTCTGACTTTTCAACATAACAAAACGCTACCACAAAGGACGTCTCTGTTCATGTAGCTTGTGCCCTTATGCAAGTACCTCTGGAAGATAAAATTCCTAGAAGACAAATTGCCAGGTGAAAGCTATGCAGATTTCAACTCGTGACTGATATTGCCAAATAGCCTCGCAAATGGGTGCCAATGTATACATCCCTCCCCGGCCGGGGATGACAACCCATTTCCCTGCCTCTGTGGCAAAGCTAGATGCTGTCAGTCATTCTGACCCTTGCCATCTGATAGGGGACAAATAGAACCTTGGATTTTAATTTTAATCAGCTTTATTGAGATATATTTTATTTATTTATTTATTTGTTTTTAATTTATTTTGAGACAGAGTCTCGCTCTGTCGCCCAGGCTGGAGTGCAATGGTGTGATCTCGGCTCACTGCAACCTCTGCCTCCCAGGTTCAAGCAATTCTCATGCCTCAGCCTCCCGAGTAGCTGGGATTACAAGTGCCCACCACCATGCCCAGCTAATTTTTTGTATTTTTAATAGAGACGGGGTTTTGCCATGTTGGCCAGCCTGGCCTCCAGCTCCTGACCTCAGGTGATCCACCCACTGCAGCCTCCCAAGTGCTGGGATGACAGGCATGAGCCACTGCACCCAGCCAAGATGACACTTTGGATACAAGAAAATTCACCCATTTTAAGTGTACAGTTGGATGAGTTTTGACAAATACTGACAGTTGTGGAACCACCACCACAATCAAGACACAGAACACTAGCTACTCGGGAGGCTGAGAGGGGAGGATCACTTGAGTCCAGGAGTTGAGGCTGCAGTGAGCAGTGATTGCACCACTGCACTCCAGCCTGGGTGACACAGCGAGATCTTGCCACTTACACACACACACACACACACACACACACACACACAGAACCTACCCAGCATCTCAGAAACCCAGAAAGTTCCTCCAGGCTCCTTTCAATCTCAAATCCAATCTCAGCCCCAGGGAACCATGGGTCTACTTTTGGTCACTATGGATTAGTTCTGACCTTTCTAGAATTTCATAGAAATGGAGTCAGCAGCACACACTGGCTTCACTGGCTCAGCATGGCAATTTGAGATTCATCCGTGCTGTTCCATGCACCACAGTTTTACCCCCCAACTGCCGAGCAGCCCCCCAGTCTGGGTGCCCCGCGTGTGCACCCCTCACCTGCTGGTGGGCATCTGGGCTGCTTCCTCCAGTTCATAACATAGAGCTGCTATGAACACTTGTGTATAAGGTCAGGGTAAACACTAGGAGTGGATGGCTGGGTTACATGGTAGGTGTGTGTTTAATTTTTTCTGTCATGGCCAAACCGCTTTCCAAAGCGGTTGCACCATTTCACATTCTGACCACAGTCTGAGGCTTCCAGTTCCTCCTCATCCTCACTAACACCTGATATTGTCTGCCCTGCTGATGTTAGTTACACAGGCAGCGGTGTGGTGGTACCTTGTATCTCACTGTGATTTTAATCTGCATTTCTCTGATCAGCGTGTTGTGTTTTGACATTCGTTAAGAATGATGTTTTTTGGCTGGGTTTGGTGGCTCACACCTGTCATCCCAGCACTTTGGGAAGCCAAGGCAGGCAGATCACCTGAGGTCAGGAGTTTGAGACCCCAACATGGTGAAACCCCATCTCTATCAAAAACACAAAATATTAGCTGGGCATGGTGGCGTGTGCCTGTAATCCCAGCTACTTGGAGGCTGAGGCAGGAGAATTACTTGAATCCGGGAGGCGGAGGTTGCAGTGAGCTGGGTTGGAGACACTGCACTCCAGCCTGGGCGATAGGGTGAGACTCCGTCTCATTAAAAAGAGTTAAAGTAAAATAAAACATCAAACATTTTGTGCAATAAATTTCTTCCTGGTTGTGGCTTTTGGGCTCGTCACAGTTTCCTTTAATACCCCAGTGACAATGGCTTAAGTCCCCCATTTACTTTTAGGAGTTACCAGTGTGATGGAGCCCGTACCCAGGCTCACACGCCCCCTGTCCCCTCCCCAGCCCCCAGCTTTCTCCACTCCGGCCACATGTTTGTCTTCAGGGATTTGTGGAAAGCTGTGTAGACAGACACCTCTGTCCACCTGGGGCACTGAAGCCATGTCAGGGCCTGTCCTGCAGCTGCTGGGTCAGCAGCCCTCCAGGAGTCTGGGCGGAAGACCACGCTCATGCTGCACCTGAAGCCGCCTTGTCTGTCACTCACAGTGCTCCCGTCCGTCAAAAGCTCCAGAACCCAGGCAGTGAGCCCACATGCAGGAAGCAGGGTCTCAAAGGGAGAGAGCTGGCTGTGGGCAGAGGCCAAGGCCGCCCAGCAGGGAGATGGAGCCAGGTCTCACCCTGGCCGGTGAGGCCCAGCTACCTGTTCCACCCGGGCTCAGGGGACCCCATTCATGCTCCTTCTCCCTGGATGCAGGCTGCATTTGCATTTCCCAGATGGTGACCCTGCGGCCATGGTGACCCGGTGCCTACGTTATGGACAAGGATTGCAAACCAGTGTGGTGGGAAAGGGGACCGACCACAGGAGCCGTCTTGGAGGCTGCGTGAGCCACGGCCAGCCTGGACCCCCAGGAACAGACAAAGGTGAGGGAAGGCACCAGCAAAGCCGGGACGCTGTGGGCCTCTTGGAAATGATGTGATATTGAGGGTTCCAAACGGCATCCGAGTAATCAATGTGGGACCAGCTCAGACCTGTGCCGAGGGGGTGGGCGCCAGTCGGCAATGCCCCGCCGCCCTCGCAGAACTCTCCCGAAGCCTGGCTCCCTCCCGGTGCCCACCCGCCTTCTAGAGGCCGCAATCCCGCCTCCCTTCTGCCCATCGCTCTCACCACAACCCTCCCCGCCCCGTGTCTCACTCACGCTCCAATCTGGACTTCCCCGTGGGGCGCACGGCACAGGGTCTCGCGTAGGAAGCCCCGTGATGGGTCGGCCCCGGTTCCTCACGCCGGCCTGGAAACCAGCCCGCACCTGCGCTTCTCAGGGGCGCCGGCTGCGGCAGGCGGACCACAGTGGAGAGTGGGCTCCCCAGGTGGACGCCTGCCGCCTGCGGCCCCGCTCAACCCTCCTTCGCCGGCACCGAGTCCCCGGCACAGCCCGGGAGGCAACCGCCGCCTGCGCGGAAACGGAAGCCGCACTTGAGGGCTCCGATGGGAGTAGGCCAGGGGCCCTGCACCGGGCCCTCCTCGTCATCCTCAGCCCGAGGAGGGGAGCCCACGAGTCCAGTCCTGACCCAGACCCCGACCCCGACCTTGACCCTGACCCTGACCTCCACCCTCGCCCTTAGCCCCGTCCCCACCGGGCGCACTAAAGACCACAGCGCCCTCTGCTGGCACCAGAGTCCCACCGCTGAGAAGGCTGATTGGCCCAGCGCTGTCAAACCCAGTCACGTGATCGGCACAGGGCCTCCTCTGATTGGTCACGCTGAGCCATGCGCCCGCCCCAGGTGGGAGGGAGCACTGTGAGTGGCAGCCCGCGAGGCCTTGCTTTTTCGGCGGGAGCCGACTGCCTTCAGCCCCTGTGCAGCAGGTGCAAGGCCCGACTCCCCCTGCGGGGATTCTGGGTGGCGCTGGCGCCCGGGCCGAGGGAGCCCTGGACCGAGCCCTCGGTGGTTGAGCTGGGCCTAGAGCATCTTGCCTTGGCTGGCCCCTCTCACTCGGGGATCACCGACAGCATGCAGTGGACGCAGAGCGGCTGTTGGCCGAGGAGCGGGTGCTTGGGGGCCCTTCCTTGAGGGTAGAGACAGGGGCGTGCAGAGACTGTCTTGGGGGTCGTCCATCCTCAAAATCCCACATGGGTCCCCCAGGTCACCCCCTCCCCACCTGCCCTGGGAAATCTCCCAGCAGCTGTTTTCTGGAACAACTGACGGCCGAGGTCAGCTGGAGGTCAGAAGGAGGGTCTGGAGCCCGGTGGGGGTGAGGATGGGAAGGTCCCAGGAGGGGTGGGGGTGGCCCGGCCAGCCGGGAGCCACAAAGGGCAGAGAGAGTGCAGCGCCGCGGCCAGCCGCCAATGGGGCCGCCAGCAATGTGGTTTCAATCTAATTGTCCCAAAATATTGTTACAACACAAACCACGTGCCATGCACTCACCTGCAACTAATCAGCGGCAAAGCTACCGAATAAATCGGTTCCACACCCTGGGACCAGGCAGCCCAGCGCGTGAACCCGGGTGCCCGGACTGGGACCAAGGCCAGGTGGCTTGTGCTGGGGCCTGTTTCCTGTTGGGGCAGGAATTGTCAGGACAAGTGCGGGCTCCTCCTCTCTTTGTGATGCCTCACTTCACGCTGAACGCAGAGCCAGAAGGAACAGCCCCTCGTGTCACAGCTGGCCCAGGCCCGAGAGGGTCAGCCACGGAGTGGAGGGCCAAACGGGGGGTCTGTCCAGGGTCTGACAGCCCAGGGAGTCCCCAGGGTCCTCTCTCCATCCTGACCATTCCGTCCTGAGATGGTGACCCTGAGGTCACCATCTTCACCCGTGCTGGGAACATTTGCACGCCCACCCACAGAAACTGCAAGACAGCCTTCAAGGCCACCAAGGCCTTTAGAGACTATGGTTGCAGTGATTCCTCCCGTACTCAGAAGAGCTGAGGAGGAAACAGAAGCTCACTGAGGATCCCGGCCCTGGACCCCGGGCCTGGGCCTCCTGCACTCGAGTCCCTGCCCGGCAGCCTGTACCCCAGAACCCAGCTGGGCTGGACACAGGCCCTCCTCAGGGAGCCAGCAGCCAGGCCCAGGCCTCTCGGGGCAGGGACGACAGACATTCCCCCAGTGAGTGCAGGGGCAGCAGGCAGCCCTGACTTCTCCCGGAGCCTGGGGGCCCCCATGGCGGCCGCTGAGCTTGGCCTTGGGGGTAAATGGGGTGCCTACGGGCAGGAAAGATGGCATAACAATGGCACCACCTGCATGGGCTTCACATAGGGCCACAAATGCATTCCTTGTGAGTTTGGGGATGGCCCGGCATCTCCCAGCATCTCAGGTCCTCCAGAAGGAAGGGGCCTCACCAGCAAGGTTGCAAGGGTGTGCCTGGGGCCTGCCACCTCAGCACAGTCCGGAGGGTGTCGGTGGCCGCCGCTGTGGAGGGGAAGCCAGTCTCAGGCTTTGGAGGGTGCCTGGCCAGAGTACAGCCCCCTGCCCACCCTTCCCTACCTGGTGCCCTGACCACCTGCTCAGTGAGTCTCTCTGAAGTCCTAGCACCCACTGGCCACTCCGCAGTGGTGACTCAACTTCCCGCGTCTGTCCCTGGTCCTGCAGCAGTGACCTGTGAGTGCCCTGGGGCTGCTGTGACAAGTGGCCACCAACCCGGTAGCTTCAAGCAGCAGACCTTTATTGCCTCGCAGTGCCACAGGCGGAAGCCCGCAGTCCCGGTGGCACAGAGCTGGGTCCTTCTGGAGCCTCTGAGGGAGATCTGCTCCTGCCTCTGCCAGCTCCTGGGGCGGCTGGTAGTTCTTGGTGGTCGCTGGCTTGCGGAGGCATCCCTCCGATCTCTGCTGTCCTGGAGAGGCCTTCCTCCCCGACATCTCTCCCCTCTCTCCTGAGAACACTTGTCATTGGATTTAGGGCACACTAATCCAAGATGATCTCAACTCGGGAGCCTTCAGTGAGGATGGGGGAAGTGAGTCGGCCTGCCCCGAGGCGGCACAGCTGGCAAACAGCCGGAGAGTAAACCTGAAAGGTCACAGCAGGTGCCCCACGACAGCAGTCAGATGCCTCGTGGCATGGCCAGGGAACTGTGCTCCGACCAGGAGCCGCCTCGGTCTGAGACCGTGGCTTCCCCTTTACAGCGGCGGGCCATGCCGCCCACCCGACTGTGGCGAGGCACCAGGCACACCCCTGCAACCTCGGCTGGCAAGGCCCCTTCCTTCTGGGGGATGCTGAGATGCTGGGAGATGCTGGACCATCCCCAAACAACTGATATCACCTGATGCCTGGCCGTCACCGAGTGCCACGTAAGCCTGTGTGTCTCGTGACACGTGTGCAGCTGTCGTTCCTGGCACAGATACTGAAGGGTAATGCCTGCACGCGGCCGCCAGGGTTGTAGGGCCAGTGGCAACAGGAGGAGGTTCTGGCTCAGGCTCACACTCTGGGGCCCCCAAAACCCAATCCACAACCAGGCGAGGCTTCAGCCTCAGCCACAGGGGAGGCCATGCCCGCCAGCACATGCTCGAGGCCAGGGTCCACCTCCAAGAGTTCCCTGGTGGTGGAAAGAAGTGGAAGACGCAGGCCAGAGGAAGGGGGCCGCCTGACCAACCTTAGCCAGTTCTGCCCAGCAGCCCGAGAGCAGGCAGAGGAGGGCGCAGGAAGAGACCGAAGCTGACCCCAGCCTTCCATGCCCTGATGGTTTCACCTTCTTCTCCATCCAGCCTTTGAATAAGAAGCAAAGTGGGGCAGGAGCCATGGCTCACGCCCATAATCCCAGCACTTTGGGAGGCTGAGGCAGCCGGATGGCTTGCTTCCAGGAGTTTGAGACCAGCCTGGGCAACACAGCAAAACTCCCATCTCTACTAAAAATACAAAAACTAGCTGGGTGTGGGGACACGTGCCTGCGGTCCCAGCTACCTGGGAGGCTGAGATGGGAGGATCACTTGAACCTGGCAGTTTGAGGCTGCAATGAGCCGTGATTGGGCCACTGCACTCCAGCCTGAGCGGCAGAGCAAGACCCTGTCTCTAAAAATGAAAAAAGGCCAAGTTGGAGGCATTGCCTATTTTTTTTTTTTTTTTTTTGAGACGGAGTTTCGCTCTTGTTACCCAGGCTGGAGTGCAATGGCACGATCTCGGCTCACCGCAACCTCTGCCTCCTGGGTTCAGGCAATTCTCCTGCCTCAGCTTCCTGCGTAGCTGGGATTACAGGCACGCACCACCATGCCCAGCTAATGTTTTTGTATTTTTAGTAGAGACGGGGTTTCACCGTGTTGACCAGGATAGTCTCGATCTCTTGACCTCGTGATCCACCCGCCTCGGCCTCCCAAAGTGCTGGGATTACAGGCTTGAGCCACCGCGCCTGGCGGCATTGCCTATTATCCCTGCTGCCCACGGGCCTGACCCTCAGAGTGACCCTGCCTGACGGGCGCTGCAGGAAGACCCCTCCTGGCCTTGCACGGGTTCCCCTTTTTTTTTTTTTTGAGATGGAGTCTCACTCTGTCACCCAGGCTGGAGTGCAGTGGCACGATCTTGGCTCACTGGAACCTCCACCTCCTGGGTTCGAGCAATTCTCCTGCCTCAGCCTCCTGAGTAATTGGGACGACAGGTGCACACTGCCGCACCTGGCTAATTTTTGTGTTTTTAGTAGAGATGGGGTTTCACCCTATTGGTCAGGCTGCTCTCAAACTCCTGGCCTCAGGTGATCCACCTGCCTCAGCCTCCTGCAGTGCTGGGATGACAGTCGTGGCCCCAATGGAACCATTTGCAAGTGTGCAATTCAGTGGCATCAAGTCCATTCACAGTGTGGTGCAACTGCCCCCTCTCTCTGTTACTATTTCCAGAACGTTTCATCATCCCAAACAGAAACTCTGTACTCATTAAGCAATATCACCCACCCCTGCCCCTGCCAGTCCCTGGGGACGCCGAACCTACTGTCTGTCTGTGCCAGTGGCTTGTCCTAGATGCTGAACAGAAGTGGAACCACGCCGTGTCCCTTTTTGTCTGGAATTCCTCACTTCGAATAATGCCCCTGAGGTCCATCCACGTGGTAGCGGGTGTCAGATTTCCTTCCTTTTCCAGGCTGAACTCTGTTCCTCGTGTGGCTGGGCCACGTCTTGTGTGTCTGTGCACTCACCGGTCAACGGCACTTGGGAGCTCCACCTCCTGGTGGCTGTGACCAGGGATGCTGTGGACTCTGGCGCTTCCGTGTCTTTGCCAGCCCCTGTCTTCTGTTCTCTGGGGTCTATACCAGGGAGTGGCATCACTGAGTCATATGGGAACAGGTGCCCGCCACTATGCCCGGCTAACTTGTATTTTTAGTAGAGACAGGGTTTCTCCACATTGGCCAGGCTGATCTCAAACTCCCGACCTCAGGCAATCCACCCGCCTTGGCCTCCCAAAGTGCTAGGATACAGGTGTGAGCCACCGCACCCGGCCTATGGGCCGCTATTGGGGAGGCCATCACACCCCACTAGTATTTTCAATCCAGAGTTTAACCTTCCAGGGAAAAGAATTTTGTATCTATTCCTGGGCCAAGATGGGGCCTGCTGGGTGAGGTGGGAGCGGTGGCCTCTGAGACCACATGGCCCGGACTCAGCCTGGCAGGAGGACCGAAGCGGCCGGGGGCTGCTGGGAGGGCCTCAGTTCTGCTCCT